CAATAATAGCACAGAGGATGGGGGAGTGGAAGTATACTGGTGTAAAGTTCATAAATTACATATAAAATGGCATACTATTATTTGAAGGGAGACTGTGAAAAGCTAGTAAGCCCACAGTGAAGATAAAAGGGTACCAGAAATGTGTGATCAATGCAAAAGAAGTCAGGAAGAAAAAGAAAAAGGAATAAAGAACAGATGGGACAAATAGAAAACAAGTAACAAGATGGCAGACTTGAACCCAGTCATTACATGCAAATGGATTCAAAGACCAGTGAAGAGGCAGAGACTGTTAGATGGGTTAAAAAAGACGACCAAACCACGTGCTGTGTATAATAAACGTACTTTAAATATAAAGACACAGACAGGTTAAAAGGAAAGAATGGAAAAAGTTATACCATAAAAAAAAAAAAAAAAAAAAAAAAACGACAACTAAGCATAAGAAAGCTGGAGTGGCTATATTCATACCAGACAAAGTAGACTTCAGATGGAATACTGTCAGAAATAAAGAGGGGCATTTCATAATAACAAAAGAGTCGATTCATCAAGAACACAAACAATCCTAAATGTGTACGCACACAATTAAGGAGCTTTAAAATACATGAAGCAAAATCTGACAGAATGAGAAGGAGAAAACACATCCAGAATTATAATGGAGACTGGAACACTCTCGTCTCAGTCTATCAGACAGACCCAGCAGACAGAAAACCGGCAAGCATACTGAAGACTTGAACATGACCGATCACCTAATTGACATTTAGAGAACACTCTACCCAACTGCAGAACGTACGTTATTTTCAAACGCGCATGGAAAATTCACCAAGCTAAACCGAACACAAGGCCATCAAATAAGTTCTCGATAATGCAAAGAAATGAAATCATACAGAATAAATTATCTGCCCATAATGGAATTCAATTACAAACACACGGTGTAAAAATGGTGTCGGGCCATCATCTGACCTCCTCTAACTTCGCAAGGGGACCTCCTCTAACTTCGCAAGGGGGAGAAGAATCATTATCAGCAGCAACAGCCCAAGGCTGATTGCCATGAGGCGGAGGTCAGACACGCCTCCTCTCACCGAGGCTTTTACCAATTCTGACACCAACCATCCCTCCCACAGCACTCTCTACTTCTCTGCTAGGTTTAATAATTCATTGCCATGGCCACACAGAACTCACAGACTATACTCACAGTTATGGGCTTTATTAGGGAAGCAACAGGTTACAATTCAGGATACAGTTCTTCAACCAGGACTGCCTCTTCTCAGCCGTGCCCACAGGCAGGCCTCTCTCTGGCCCGCAGCCCCTCAACCTGGCCTCTGCCCTGTTCTGGCAAGTGTTACAAAGCTCTTTAGCTCCGCCAATAAGTACCTGGGGGCACCCCACTCCGCCAGCAAGCCTCCTGCCCAAAGGTGCTCAGCTGTCTCACTCCGCAGGCCGAGAAGCTCACCGCGCCGTCTACCACCAGTCTCCTGGTTCTGCTGCCTGTTTCTCACCATCTTGCCATCTCCACTGTCACAGCTCTGTCTCCTGGGTCTAGGAGGGTCTCAGCGCAGGGATCCTGGGTCCAAAGGACGCACTCTGCTCCCATCTCTTCTTGGTGGTAGTCAGGTCCCCCTTTGCTCTGGGATCGGCTCTCTTTTAAGCCTAGTGGGATGGTAAAACTGACCAATCTCCTCGTTAGGGCTCCATATACCTTATTTGCATGGTCCCCCCCCCCTTGTGGGTGCCATGCACCTTATTTACATTATTAGCAAGCTATCCAGTCTCCCTGGTGGGCCACAAGCACCTCATATGCATATTCCCACCCAGTCATGTGGTGGGAGTTACTATGGCTAGAAGGCCCATATTAAGTAATTCACTGCACTGCACATAACAGAAAGGTACCTGCAAAAGCTCCAAATGTTTGGAAATTAAACAACACACTTGTAAGTCAGTCACTGGTCAAAAGACGAGAAATCACAAGGGAAATTAGAAAATATTATGAACTGAATAACAATGAGTCTAGACCACATCCAAATGTGTAGGATGCAGCTAAAGCTGTGCTTAAAGGGAAGTTTGAGACTTTAAATGCATTTATTAGGGAAGAAAAGTTTAACATCAATGATCTACAGTTACACCTTAAGAAGCTGGAAAAGGACAGTCCACAATACCGAGGAAGCCAGCACAACTTGTTCAGGATAAGGTCGTGGAAGCGCCATAGACACATCCAAACTCCCTGGGGGACTGAACTGCTGGGGGGGGAGGGCTGTGGGGACCATGGTCTCGGGGAACATCTAGCTCCATTGGCATAACAGAGTTTATAAAGACAATGTTCTACATTCTACCTTGGTGAGTAGTGTCTGGGGTCTTAAAAGCTTATGAGCAGCCATCTAGGATACTCCACTGGTCTCACCCCATCGGGAGCAAGGGAGAATGAAGAAAACCAAAGACACAAGGGAAAGATTAGCCCAAAGGACTAATGGACCACAACTACCACGGCCTCCACCAGACCGAGTCCAGCACAACTAGACGGTGCCCGGCTACTACCACCGACTGCTCTGACAGGGATCACAACAAAGGGTCCCGGACAGAGCTGGAGAGAAATGTAGAACAAAATTCTAACTCACAAAAAAAGACCAGACTTACCGGCCTGACAGAGACTGGAGAAACGCCAAGAGTATGGCCCCTGGACACCCTTTTAGCTCAGTGGTGAATCCCCTCCCCAAGTTCACCGTTCAGCCGGGGATTGGACAGCCCCATAAAACAAAATGGGACTAATGAGGCACAGCAGTCCAGGGACAAGGACTAGAAGGCAGGAGGAGACAGGAAAGAACCCAAGGTTGAGAAAGGACAGTGTTGACATGTCATGGGTTGGTTAGCCATTTTCATAGGGCAATATGTATAGTAACTGTTTAATGAGTAGCTAGTTAGCTCTGTAAACCTTCAATACAAACAAAGAGTAATATCAATAACTAAATAGAGTGGTTGCCATCAATTTGCTAAGTTTAGGGCTCTGAATGCTAACATTAGCTGAACCCCTTCAGCTGACCTGTATTTACAGTGTCACCAAAAAGCATCAGCATTAATGGAAATCCTGGCAGAGAAATGTCCATATCATCACTTGCATGGGAGGGAGTGCGGAGGGCTGCAGTAGATTTCTGAAGGAGGTACAATGTGACACCAGCCCCGTGGGGCTGCAGCCAGCGGCAGCAGGGGGCACACCAAGCAAAAAAAAAAACAGAAGCTGGAAAAAGATGAGAAAATTAAACCCAAAGTTAAGTAAAAGAAAGGAAATGATAACGAGTGGAAATCCACGAAACAGACAATGATCAAACGATAGAGAAAAATCAGTTAAACCAAAGCTGGGTTCTTTGAAATTATCAGTAAAATTGATAAGCCCGTATTTAGGCCAATCAAAAAAAAAAAAAAAAAAAAGAGATGCACATTATCTACATCAGGAATGAAAGAGGGGAACATCCCTACAGATGACAGATACGAAAAGGATAACAAGGGAGTATTAACAACTTTATGCCAACTTAGATGAAATGGACAAATTCTTTGAAAGAAAATTACCAAAACTGACACAAGAAATAGAAAATCTAAATGGTTCGATATCTAATTCAAGAAATGGAAATCATAATTAAATACCTTCCCACAAATAAAACTGTAGGTTTCGATGGCTTCCCTGGTGAACTCTAGCAAACATTTAGAGAAGTAACAGCAAGCATACACAAACCTCATAGTAAAAAACAGATAAAAAACATTACCAGAAAATGACAGACCAATATTCCTCATGAACGTAGATACAAAAATTCTCAACAGATATTAGCAAATGGAATTCAGCAATATATAAAAGGATAATGCATCATAATGTTAGATACAAACACCCCCCCAAAAATTCAACAACCATCTATAATCAAAATTCTCAACAAAGTAGGCTATATTAAAATTTCTTCCCCCTGATCAAATACATTTATGAAAATCCTACAGCTAACGTCATACTTAACGGTGACTTTCCACCTAAGATTGAGAATAAGGCAAGGATGTACACTTTCACCACTTCAACATTTTCCTAGAGATCTTAGCCCGTGCAATAAGGCAAGAAAAAGAACTAAAAGGCATACGCGCTGGCAAGGAAGCAAAACCGTCTTTATTTGCAGATGAAATGATCATGTACATAGACTACCCCAAGGTATTTACCAAAAAACTACTAGTACCAACAAATGAATTGAAGCAAGGTCACAGGATACGAGGTCAATATATAAAAAAATCAATTGCATTTCTACATACTTTAAATGAACAATTGGAAAATGAAACAAAAGTGCCACTTATAATAGAATAAAAACACATAAATGACCTAGAGAAACAGCAACGCCATGGGAAAGTACTGTTGAGCAACAGTACTGTGGACCTGGCACCAGTGTAGACGTGGCTCACAGGGGTGGAAACAAGAGCCTCCAGAAGATTGGGGATCTAGTGTTTTTGGTTGACAGTCAAGAATCTGGAGATGAAAAGCAATGGAAAGCTCAACACTTCCAGTGCAACAAATTCCACAAGTATAGCCACAGATCCAAAATGCAAGATTTTATTACTCAATGACAGCTTCCGATGCCCAGCTTCGTGGGGGCGTGTAGTGTGACTCATGATTGTGGACACGCAATCATCCTAAGCCTGTGCTACAGCCCGGGGCTTCTTTCTAAGACACCCAAGAGAACACTCAGTTACACAAAATCTGACCTGCTTCTAAACATGTGAAAATGCTTCCCCTCCCTCTCTGCCTTGCTTTCAATGTCCCAGCTTCTTGGGGCTCCTCACTGTTTAGGCAACATGGGGGCTTGGGCCTGGTGCATCTCCGCCACCATCAGAGCCTGGGTGGGAGGCTAAGCCCGCAGCCTCCAGAGGCTAACCTGGGTGCCAGTGAAGCCAGGCTTCGGCGGGGGGGGGGGGGGGGGGGGGCGCGACACTGTGGACTCGTGGGAGACTCAGAACTTCTACTTCCTGTGAGTAGACTGAGCCACAAGACAGCCACACTGCAACTTTCCACATTCCCCGGGCCCCACCCACTCGATTCTGCAACACAGATGGCCAGGGGCTCCTTTGGGAGCCTGGGCTGCAGACGCCCTACCTTGCTCTCAGGGGAGCCAGCTCCCCTCATCCCACTGCACGGCACCCCACTTCTCTCCGGGCCACGCGGCCAGTGGCCTCAGACCCGCACCCCCCACGTCCCTCTGATGGCACCCAATCGATGGCTTGGCCGGCCGAGTCCTGCCTGTGAGCCCCCTCCCTGCAGGGAAGGTGCCCCCACGCCCCGCGGCCCACGAGCTGCCAAGTGTTCGCACACCATGAGAACTTCCAACCATGAGAACTTTGACTTCCAGGTTTGGGGCGTCTGCCCGGGTGCACGCTCAGCTCTGAAACTCGTCACTCTCTTCAGGCCCCTGCCTGTCCAAGCCTACGGAAGGAGAGGAGCGGACTCTCAGCAAGCAGGTGCGGGCTCTGCCGCTGCCCATCTCCTGGAATCGAGGCTATTTCTAAGGAATGGGAGATGCTTGCTGGGCTTCCTTGTTTCTGGAACCATCAGGGAGGCTGGCAAGCTCAGGCAGAGGGAAAGTGTCATTGTTAGGGGCAGCCAAGGCTCCCAGGAGAAGGTAGAGAATACCCTGCTGAGGACGACAACTTCCCAAGGGAGAAGGGGTGGGAGGGTAGGGCAGGGGCGGCTGGGTTTTCAGCCCTTGCTGGGGGAGTGGCCTGCCTGGGTTGTCATGCCCTGTGGCAGCTGGCAGGAGTACAAGTCTCCAGGGTGTCCGCTCCCCCAGCCTCTGGGGTACCTGGGAGTGAGCTTGAGGACAGCAGCTGCAGGCTGTCCAACACTCCGTCTTCGTACAGGGCCAGTTTCTGCACCATTTTCTGTCGGGCCGGGTTGATGACAATCTGCGGCGGCTCGGATGATGCGGTGCTACCCAACGGTGACCCTGGGGCACAGAGTGTCCTCTTAGCTGCCAGAGCTGCGCCAACGCACCTTTCCCTAGGAGCTCCGTGCTGACCTTCGAGGTCCAGGCCTAGCTCCCTGCGCCCTGTGCATGAGCTGGAATTCCTCTGCGCCCTCTTGCCCACATTGGCTGCCCCCGGCCCTGGATCCCGCTGCTCTCAGGGGCAGGGAGGGGAGAAGGGCTAGAACAGAGGGCTCGGCCTCTCCCCTGGTGAAACCAGACAGTCCCTGGGTCCTTGGACCATCATGTGGGCCTCTCTCTAAGGCTGGCAGGCTCCCGCCCCTGGGACAGCAGACTTGCCCTCGCTAGGGACAGATGGGGCTGAACAGCAGGCCCCAGTTCCTCCTCCCGGAAGGAGGCCCCTGCCCCCAGATACCTTCCAAGGCTGTGGGCCAGGACCCGGGGCCACTCCCCCAGTTCGACTCTTTGGTGGCGCCCCCTGCCTGAGTGCAGCTGGCCAGTCTGAGGGGTGCTGGGGCCCAAGTGGCAGCTCCTTGCCCAGGGCTGCCTGGCAGGGCCGGGCCTGGTGAGGGGCTTGGAGTCAAGTGCCAGGAATACAGGGCACCAGAGAGGCCCGACACGCTCTCGTCACTCTCCACGGGCTGGTTGGGGCCTTTCCAGAGCTGGTCTGCAGCCTGCGCCAGGCCTCTGGACGGCACGGCCAGGGGCGGCCGGGGGGCACTTCTGCTCGGGGCAGCGCCGGCGGTGGACACGTAGGAGTTCTCCTGTGGGGAGGGTGGGCCACGGCCGGTGGCCTCGGGCTCCGGGGGCAGCCCTGCCGCCGCCTGCAGCTCCTCGAGCCTCTTGTACACCTGCGGGGGTAGAAAAGGCCCCCTTTAAGAGGCCCCAATGCTGGGCAGAGCAGGTCTGCCCGCAGTCCAGCCCTAGGGAGCAGAGCCACTGGGTCCTGTCACAGCCTTACAGAGCATGACCCTGGTGTGGCACCCTGTCACAAATTGCAACTGGGAAAGCTCTGTCCCTTGCTCCTCTGTCCCTGTCACCAGAAGCCCTTAGTCACGGCTACCAGCACCAAGGACTGAGAAAGAATTCTCTGCTATCTTCTAGAAAGTGAACCTCATTGTCCTACTGCCCTCAAATGGAGGTTCTCTACTCTAAGCCGTCACCAGATGGGATAGAGGAGGTCAGGGAGGGGGCAGAAAAATGCAGATGCAGTGGCACCATGCAGCCAGCAGGGGGCGCAGCAAAGGTCATTTGTTTTGATCTCCGGGCTAGCCCCAAAGCCCAGGGCCAAAACAGGAGAGGCCTGGGTCCCGCAGTGCAGAGAAGCCAGGTGGAGCTTGCGTGCGGAAGGGCAAGCGAAGAATGGTGTTTTGGAAACTCCGAAAGTGGCCCGGCAGGCAGGGTGGTCAGCTCTCTGTGGGGCAGGGCCTCCCCCAGGGCTACCTGGGTCATGGGGGGCCTCCTCTTGGCCCTGCGGTGCAGGCAGCAGCAGGCCAGCTGGCCCAGGGGCAGACCCAGCTTGGGTGGGCAGGGCCCGGGCCTGGGGTCCAGGTGTTTCCTGTAGATCTGAGCAGCGATCGGGGCAGCCCAGCCGTCTGAGGCCAGACCTGCCTGAGCTGTCGTGTGGCCACCTTTCAGGGCCACCCCGGCCTCCTCCGCCTCCTCTTCAACCAGGTCCTTCTGTGGACAACACACAGGGAGCAAGCCCGGTTCTGAGCCCTGGGGATCCAGCGATACACCAAACGCCGAGCCCTCTTCACAGAGCCCACTGGCAGACACGCTGGGGTGGAGAGGCCCATGGGGGCACTGAGCAGGGCTGCTGGGTCGGCCAGGCCTCCCTCAACAAGCAAGAAGGGGACAGGGATAGGCTGCTGCTGGTGGGGCCTGGGGTGCCCGAGGCAGAAGAGCAGCGGGGAGGCCTTCATCGGGGCTTTGGCTGCAGCATGGAGGACAGATGGGAAGGGCTCAGGAGACCAATGAGAGAGGACCACTGGGGACCTGTGAGTGATGGTGACAGTGGAGAAGCAGCTGGTCAGGGTCGGCTCAAAAGATGGGCCACCAGGACACGCTAGTGGGCAGTTGGACGGGGTGAAGGTGAAGGCAAGGAGTCTGTGGATGGCGGAGGGGGAACGGGTAGGATGGCAGAGGCAGCCAGAGTCCCCACAGAGACACCAGTAAAGGATAGGGCCACGCGTGTTTGTTCCCTGAGCCAGGAGCAAACACGCCAGGAGAGTGCGGGGCAAACACTGACGGAGTGTTCTGGGCATCTCACGTGTCCTAAGTCTGTTTTGCAGAGAGGGAAACTGAGACTCAATGCTCCCTCCCAGGCCCCTCTCAAGTTGGGACTCGAACCCAGGTCTCCGGTCTCCTAGCCATGGGCCGGCATCCAGGAACGCAGGAGGGAGGCTGGGCACCCAGCAGGGGGCAGTCAGGACTGCAGGGCAGGTCTGGGTTACCCCAGCCCCTCCCTCCTCCCTTGGACCCGGCGCCAGCCCAGGTGGGCCTGTAAAGGCCCAGGAAATGCATATAAAGAGACAGGGTTCTCAGCAAGACAAAGGGAGCGCTCCGGGCCCTGTCTCCTTCCAAAAAGGGGCCAGCAGCGGCCAAGGTAGGCTTCGGGGTGGGGGGGGCCCTGCATTCCCGATTGTTCCACGATCGTTCCACCCCACCAAGGCTGCCTCGGGAGCCGGCTCACCAGATACTTGGTCCCAGTGCCCTGTGTTCTCACAGCCCTCTGGCCCACCAGGGTCTCCAGCACCACCTGGGAAGAGGGCAGATGGAAAGAGGAGTAGTGTCTGAGGTTGACGGGAGTGGCATGGACTGGGACCGATAGGGGAATAGCCCGCGGATAAGCAGATGAGCACCAGCTCCCAGAAGGGACGGAGCCGGGGGGGGGGGTGGTGGTGGTGGTGGGACCAAATGTGAAGACAAAGAATGCAAAGTGGCAAACATGAAATGAGGTACAGGGCTTGGAAGGGGCTTCATCAGCGTCTCACCAGGCCAACCTCTGGCCCCCACGTGGAATTTTCCAGACCTTGTCACCTGTGCTCATTTGGGGCCTTTTCCTCCCCCAGGGAGGGGGCCGGTGAGCAACTCACCACCCCAAAGCTGAACGTGTCGGTCTCCACGGCCAGCTTCCCTGTCTTGATGTACTCCTCGGGAAGGTAGGCCAGGGTGCCCCGCACCGTCCGGGTCCGGGCTACAGCACTGCTCTGGCCAGGGTTGGCACCGGTGAAGCGGCTAAAACGGGCGAGGCCGAAGTCCCCCAGCTTGGGCATCAGCCTCTCATCCAGAAGGACATTGGAGCTTGGGGAGGCAAGAGAGCAAAGTCAGCCCGGCCCCAGCCCTGATGTCCCTCCGCACCTGCCCGGCCCCGGATGCGACGGAATTCAGGGTCGCTGACCTGAAGCTTTGCCCCAGGAAAACAGTCTGCCCGGTAACAGAAGGCACAGTGGGCACACCCACTAGGGCCTTGGTGTGGAGGGCAGGGCAGCCAGCAGTTTTTTGGCCTTCGTGTCCACGTGGGTCTGATGCTGGGGTACTCAGCGGCCCTGGAGCCCCCCAGCTCGGATGTCCCAGGGCTCGAGCACTCGGGGCGGGCCCCTCATGGGGGCACTTGGGGCAGGGCTCCTCTGCGACCAGACTCACAGCTCTCACGGGCCCCAGGGTCCCAGCTGTGCCCCTCCTCACCTCTTGACGTCCCCGTGGATGAGGCTGGGGCTGTCCTGGTGTAAAAATTGAATTGCCCGGGCTGTGCCCACAAGGATGTCCATTCGCTGAGGCCAGGAGAGGGGGGCACAGGCCTGCGTCTGGAGGGCAGAGGGACACAGGGGGCTGGGGAGACAACTGCGAGCACCCCAGTTCCGCGACTCTGACCCTCCCCCACCTGTCTGGGCCTCAATTTCCCCTTCTGGAAAAATAGGATCAAAATTGCCATTACGTCCTTCACAAGAAAGCTGAAACTAAGCTGCTCCGATGCTTTGGAAAGCACTTCAGGGATGTGGAGTGCCTGTTTCCGGGATTCATTACAGACTTCAACACTCCTGAGTTCCTTCTTCTCAAGGCAGCTATTTGTCCTGGCTGAGCAGGAAGTCAGCACACGGCTTTGTGCCCTCCCCCAGCACAGGGTGCCCGTCCTGAGCGCACAGGTGACAAGGCAAGGAGGTCCACAAGACACTCACTGCCCTTTTCTCAACGGCCGTGCTGACGAGACCCTTTCGTCAGTCTGCTCACAAGGGGGAGAAGCATGAGTTAGGGTGCTCTCATGCAAGAACCCCCCTTCCGAGAGGCAGAGGGCCCAGCTTCGGGGCATGCAGGTCAGCCAGGGTGAGGTCCCCAGGAAGAGCCCCATGGAAGACGGCCACCCACCTCGGGAGGAGCCCTGAGCTAGGGGCTGCAGGGGGAGCCGGGAGCCCAAGCCCTGCCCACCGACGGGACTCCGTCACAAATGCTGAGTCCAAGGCCCTATACCCAGTTTCCCCCAGGACCTGTGGCAGGTCAGGTGGGGCTACCTGGAAGTGGAGGCGATCTTCCAGAGAGCCGCTGGGCAGGAAGCCGTAGACTAGGCAGTAGAAGCCACTCTGAGCACAGTAGCCGGCAAAGTCCACGATATTTGGGTGACGAAACCTGCTCGGCAAAGCGGGGGCTGAGCCTGGTCCCAAGTCCCCATCACACTTTCCCCTGGCCATGGAGGGGCCCAGTGAGCCAGGCACAGCCCTGGAGACGTTTTGGTCTGGGTGGCTTACCGGGACAGCTGCTCCACCTCGGTTAGGAAGCTCTGCTTCACAGCGCTCCACTCCAGATCGGCGTCCTGCAGCAGCAGCGGGAAGGGAGGGGAAGCAGCAGCGTGAGGCTCCCCTAGCCCAGGCTGCCCAGCCACTCCCACTGCCACCCTTTCCTGACTTTCTGCAACCTGGGACCTTGAGGTGGAGCTTTCCCTGGGGGACATACCCACCTCCTTCAGCCTCTTCACCGCATACACCGTATTCCTCATCACCGCCCGGTACACACAGCCAAAGCCACCCTCACCGATCTTGAGCTCCTCGGAGAAGTTGCGGGTGCCCTGGGCAATTTCTGGGAGGGGCCAGCAGAACGGGGCGGGGTGGGCCCCCTGCAGGAAGGCCAGTGGGCTCTCTGGGCTCGGCTGTGGGAAGAGAGCCGGGCAGGTGGGCCGGTGTGTCTGAGTCTCCTCTCCTCCATCCTGGGCAGCCAGCTCCCCAAACCCACCCCAGCTGCCTCCCAGCTGGCTGCTCCCTCCACTGCCTGGGGCCCTGCGATGTATCAAAGGCTGTTTCTTCCTCCTTGCCTGGAACCTTCCCTGGGAGCAAGGAGTACCTACCTCAGAGGAAGGGGCTGGAGTTGGCAGTGCCGGCTGGGGGGAGGCAGAATGTGCAGTGGGGCCGAGCTCGGGCCGGGGATGGGTCTGGGAACCTGGAAAAGTGAGAGGCCACGGTCAAGGTGCCTTCTCCCCAAACCCATCGCGTCCAACAGCCCCCGGCTCTTACCTGGGGAGAGGAGGGTGGAGGCTGAGGACTGCGACTTCCTGGGGTTCCTGGCCTCTGGCTCGGAGGGGGCGGAGATGCTGCTGGGCCCCAGGGCCCGGGCGGTGGCGCTGGGGGGCGGGAGGGGGGCGGGAGGGTGCCCTGGGCGCCGCGGAGGAAAGGAAGGGAGAGAGTGAGTGGTGACCGCCCCGGTCCCCTCCCCACCGCCCGCCGGCCGGCCGGCCGGCCGGCACTCACAGGCCGTGATGATGTCCCGCGCGCGGAGCAGCTGCAGGTGCGTGAGGATGCGCACGAGGTCCGCCACGCGGGCGTTGCGATTGATCCAGGGCCACAGGACGCTGGCCGTGCGCTGCCCCGAGCGCTCGCAGAGCCGCAGCTCGGTCTGGTCGCGTACGATCAGGGCCGCTGCGGGGCGGAGGGCGTCAGGCGGACGGAGCGACCCGGGGACCCCCCCGCCCCCCGCCCCCCGCCTCGGCCCCCGGGGACCTGAGCTCGAAGCAATTGTCACC